AGAAAATTAATGGGTGCAGTGGCTCCACGGTCAGTAAAAGGGACAGGCTTTTCTGTTAGCTGCCTACAGGGAACTAGAGGGAAGCAAAACTAATTTTTAGTCATTTAAGGTGCAAGTTTCTCTGGAGATGTGCTCTGGGTTGAAATGGTCATTTGCATTTTTTTCTTTGGCCCAAAGTTCCACTTCAGTTGAACAAAGCCATTTTTCCTCTGCCTTTCTGACTGTATTTCCAAATAAAAGAACCCAGAGCATTGGTGCGATCCCAGAAGAAAATCCAGCCCTGACCAAAAAGCAGTTTCTCTTTGTACTGATTTTGAACACTTTCTTGGTGGAGCTTCTCAGAATGCCCTAAAACATGAGCTGCACAGTCTGCAGAGAGAGCTGCCTACACTCACCTGTAGCCCAGGATGGTGCAACCGGTGCAGCTCCAGTCCAGCTGGGAGTCCTGGAAACTGGACAGAAACTGCAAAGCAAAGAATGATGGTCACACACTTACTGGTCAGGAGACCCCAGGTAGATGGGACTAGCTGTTGCCTGGGATTTTGCAAGGAGCTGGAGCTAGCTGAAGCATCCTATCTTGTCTCTGCAGGCAGCGGGAGCACCTGTGTCCAGCTCACATTTAACCCTTTTCCCACCCTGGCTCAGGGCACGAGGCAGCACCTCTCTTCTTTACGCCTTCCTACCACCTCTCTTTTGCAAGGAACAGAGCTGAGCGCACATTTCCCACTCCACAAATGTCTCTTAGGGCCCTGATGGGGCAGCTCAGCCTCACGGTGTGCCCTGTTGATGTTTAACAAATCTCTATTTTCCTCCTGCCCTTGACATCCAGATTCTGCTGAACGAGGACAGTTGAGCTGGGCCCTGGGGAACGGCCACCTTCTTTCCCTGGCAAACCCAGCTCAACTCACCAGCCTCTCGAGAGCAGGTGTCAGCACCCTGTAGTAGTCCGAGTTCTCCATCTGTAAGCTGCTGTTGAATGTGATTCCTTGCAGCTCCACGGTGTGCTCAAAGCTGGTCTCTCCTGCAGGATGACAGGCTGCCAGAGAGGGAAGGTGTCTATCAGAAGCATGAAGGACAGACGGAGGTTTGGGGCCATGGCTGGACCCAGCTTTCCTCGCTGTCCACTTTGGAACATGAGTCCCATCAAGTCCTTCACATCTCCCTGGTTTGAGCAGCTTGACTGTCCCTGACTCCCCCTGGCTACCTTGGGGATGCCCCATGGCCATGCTGGGCTACCAGCACACATGCAATAGGAGAATTTTGCACTGAACTACTTTTAACTTGAAAATGGTGGATTTTTGTCAAGCCTGACAAAAGTTCATGAACAGGTGGGTACAACCTGACAGTGCAATCCCAGATTGGCCCTGTCCTTGCAGGACCAGGCTGGAGAAAGTCATGCTGGGCACTGAAGCCAGCTTGGAAAGTGGTACTGTACTGTACCACAGTAGAGCTGTGCTGGTGGGATCTGTCAGTCGTGCCAGGCTGGGGTCCACATCAGGTGCTGGCCTGAGGTGGCATCGGGCCGTGGGGCACCAGAGGCAGCAGGGGGAAGGTGGGAGAGGCAAGGAGACAGTAGTCATGCTCTGGAGTGTGGGACAATAAAACAGGCAAGGGTCAGTGTGGCTGCAAGAGGCTGGGACAGGAGATGGCTGGGGCACCAAGGTAGAGCGACAGGAAATTTGGGAGTCACAGGGAGACATTTGAGGAGAGGAACAGAGCATACATGTCATGTGACACTGAAGATAAAGTGCTTTAAAGTCAGATATTCAGAACATTTGTTTCCCACCCTTGCAGTTTGTGTGTGTGTGTAGAGTTGATCGCATTTTGTCCTCAGCAGAAGACTTTTGAGAATTTTTGCTATGAGGACTGTGAGCTGTGCAGACCATTTCTTTTTTTGAGCAGATAAACTGAAAGAACATACCCAGCTACACACTCACCCAGCAGGATCCCCAGGTAGAGGGCTGTGACGCTGCCCACGACGGCAGCAGCAACGGCTACCTTCCAGCAGCTGGCCCTCAGTCCCCTTCTCTGTGTGCCTGGCACTGGCTTTATCTGGTCCATGCTTTCTGAGCAGCTCTACAGATGGTCTCTGTGATTAAAAAGAAGAGGAGGAAAAGGACAAGACTGGGATGAAATGTGACATGCCAGCTATCAGTACCCCAGGAGCTCCAACCAGTGCATTATCACAAGGAGTAAAGGGATGGATACGCACTGCATCCCCTGAATGCGCCTCAGGCTGCAGTCAGGAGATTTTACTAATACATCCAGGTTGTAGGACCTGAACACATCAACCACGGTGGCCTCTCCCTGCCTAGTTCCCCTTCACTTTCTTCCCAGGAGGCCACCACTGAGCATGGTCATGTCCATTGTGAGTATGAACCAGCCTGACGCTCCATCTCTGTGCTCTGCATAGGCAGTTTTGGCGACGCAAGCTCTGGGTGAGCCCTGAACCAGTGTCCCAGCATCACAGGTCCTGCCTTGGGGTGTAACTAGGATAGCACATGGTATCTGCTCTTCAGCAGGCAGTCCCCAGGCTTGATTTAGCAGCAGGGTTTCAAGGTCCTGTGATGCCCAGGTGAACTGGTATGCCAGCTCATAGCAAGGGGTGAGTGTGGACCAGACTTGGCATCTTGGCTTGCTCCTTCTGCCTCAGAAATCACCCCTAGTAAAGATCCTAAAACCAGCCACTGTCACTAGCAACTGCTCTGGTGCCGCTCAGGAGTCATGGAGCTGCAGCAGCAGGTTAAGTTGGAAAGTACAACATTTAGCTCAAAGTAATCTTATAGCCTGCAAATACAAGACTAGACTGCAGTCACAGCCTTAAATATGAAACTCTGCAGTCTGAATAGAGAGCTATGGAGAGAGACCTGCCTGGGACTCTGGCGAGTAAATGTACCAAAGCCAACCGGTATTGAAAAACCTCAAGAATCTTTGGCTGCTTCTACTGGACCATCCTGACCTGGCTACTGAAATCCTGGCACTAGGCTACTTATGTCCCCAGCCTGGTATATGTTATGTGGATTAAAACTGGCCAAGTGATAAACCTCACCCTGTAGTTGTCTATGAGACAGGTTCCAGGGTGAGGTTTCATATATATCACAATGCTGTTCCATATTGTTGCAAGAATTGTGAAGGAAATATAAAATCACAGTTGGTAAATACAGTGGATGACAAAACTCACTTCAGAGAGCACCCAGTGCCTAGTAATGCAGGGCAATTAATAATGTGCTTTAATTACAGCTATGCTACTATCCTGATGAGCAGTTTCTCCTTCCCTGTGGTCAGCACTGGCACTGATGTTTCCAGTATTTTGCTTCAAGTGGTACAAACATCCTGCACAGGAACCAAAGCCCCTTCATGTGATCTTTCCTGCCTCCTGAGATCAACTCAGTGGCCTCTGCTGGACTTGTTCCATGATGTTAATGCTTTTCATGCACTGAAGCGGCTCAGATGGGATACAGTACTCCAAATGTGATGTCAAAAGTGCCAAAAATATGGCACTTATCTTGTTTTTTGTCTGCGCTCTTGCTAGTACAAGCCAGCCTGCGGTTGGCCTTCTTTTGCACATCATCAGCAACTGGATATTGGCAGGAATGAAACAGCCTGGGATATCCCGCTTTATCCACAGTCATGCCATCAGTCATACTTCAGCCATGTTAGTGTTTGCAAGTCCAACAAGACAAGAAGGGGCACTGATTTCCTCTCGCCCTAAAATATATTAAATTACTGGATTAATATTCCTCCCTCACAGGTAGGAAGAAGAAACACAACCCTTCCCTTCAGAATGGCACAAAAAAGTCTAAAGACAACGTGGTTGGTCAGAGTTGAAATACACAGAAGTCCATCCAGCCTTCTTGGCCAAAGGTCCAAAGCTCCTGAGCTTCAGCATGAATTTTTTGGGGACTCAATCTCTAGCTGCTGGAAAACTTCAGATTCACAGGTCACACCAGAAGAGTCTTGGCAAGGCAAAGTCATCTCTCAAACTTACTCTGCCTAGATATCAACATCTTCAAGAACATAAAACCCACTCAGCTTTTCCTTCCTCGGTCCCAAATTCTGCCCTGCTGAGGAACATCTCATCTGGTCACTTCTGCTCTGGCCACTTCCTGCCAGTTCAGAAGATCCCTGCCACAGCAGCTACTTACCGATGCCACAAATCAGGCTGTGGCTTCAGCCAAAAGGGAAGCTGCGGGGGAACAGCCTTTTCTAATGCAAATGCATCTGGCAGTGGAAGAGGGAGGGAAGAAAGGGACCCCGGACACAGGGAGCAGCCGCGCTCTTTCAGAAGAGCTTTTCAGTGTTTTCCAAGAAGCGTCAGCAGCTCTTTAAACTGAAGCTTCTAGATAAGAGATTTTAGAAGGTCACTTCTTTGTGAGGCAACAGACAGAGAGAAAGGAGAGAGGAAGGGAGAGTCTGTCCAAGATGCCTCTTTTTTTCTAACAGACCTCCAAATAATCTTTTCCAGCGTAACCAAGCCTGGCAGAGATAGGCCCCTGTGCTTTGCTAACGATATCTCCATTTGACAACTCTGCTCTGGCTAAGAGGAGACAGGTAGGAACCATTTTTTCCAGTGGTCCTTGTGACCTGAATACATACAGATGAGCCATCCCTCCTCCGCTCCTTAATAGGCTTTGGAGTCACCCGCTCCCTTGCACTATGCTCAACGTGCAAGCTCAAAAATCTAGTCCAGATATGCTGACCAGTGCAAACTGGTCTTACTACCAATGGACTTTAAAGGTAGGACAAACACATCTGAGAAAAAAAAAAAATGTCACAGACAAAACTGGCTATGGCCGGGTGCTACTTTAACAGTACAAGTTAGATTGAACTAATCTTGGCTGCATATAAAAAAAATCATACTACAATAAAAGGTACCCCAGACTCTAGAAAGAAGTTCATATTATGATTTCATTGGCATTTAAACCGGAAAAAAATAGACTGTTTAGAGACAGAGAAGCCTTCTACTTCCCAAAACAATCAAAACTTGTCTTCTTTACTCTCCCTTTTAGCATAAGGAAAGCTGATTTTCTTTTGCTGTGAGTAGTGTGAGTTAGGAAAAAAATAAAAAGACATGTAAACAGAAAGCTTATCTTGCAAGAGCAAAATAGAGATTGGAATTTTTTTTAGTGAAAGAAGATAAGGACCATCTATAAATACATAACGGAGAAGAGTAGCAAGGAGCTATATATGTTGAAAAACATCATTGCATAAAATCAGATGAGCAAAAAGTAAATTTTGTTGGTGGGGCAAAAATTAGAAGAGTATTAACAGTCAAAGGAGATTGAATTTCTTGTAGGAAAGTTGAGAAGAACAAGCACATTTATGGGTTTTTTTTGTCAGATTATATATAAATTGTGTGTGGTTATAAAATATGATGCCCCTGATAGCAGAGCTGGGGCAAACTCAGTGATCTAAGAGAGTCCTTCCAGTCCTGTGGAAGTGGGGCTTCTTCTCACTGCTCCATTTTAGCAGAGGAGGCATGCAAGGTGAGCTACAGAGGAGGTTAACAATAACTGCCCTGTGAAAATAACCATCTCTGGCTGTCCCTAAGGATCTGCTGAGATTCCTGGGAGATGGTCGCTACCTCTGCTTTTCTGCTTCTGGGCAGCTCAGGGTTTGTTTTCTCCACGGGAGTCTGGATTTTGCTCCAGGGCAGCCTTGAGTCATTCCATAGGATTTCCTTGGAAGATGTATTTTATTTCTCAACTGATTCAGACAGGGAAATTTCAAAATATAAACTGCTATGCTACAAATATCCATTTATACGTAATATTTCTTCTAGTTAGCCAGACTATCACTAGTACCTGCTCTTCTGGTCAAGGAGGACAGGGAAGTAGCACATCTGTGTGTGAGCACGTGTGTGTGTGAGCATGTGTGTGCACTTGTGCAGCGGGTTGGGGCACGTGGTGTGCAGGAGCAGTGAGGGGACACAGCCACAGCAGGGAGACCCCGGGTGTGCCCTGTGCTGGGCACAGATCGCAGCCTCCCTGTGCCAGCGTCTCGCTGTCATTCTGGTGAGCCCCGTGGCTCACTGCGAGTCTGGCCAGAGCACGCAACTTTCAGCACAAATTGTGGTGGCTCCTGGTTTTAGGTAGAAACTGGCTACTTGCTCCTGAGGTCCAAGTGAGACAGTGACCTCCAAGCACCGCGCCAACGGCTGCCCCCGAAGGGTTTGGGTTTTGTTCATTCACCTCCATGTTCCCCGGCCTCTTGTATTCCACTACTTGGTACTTCTCTTCCTTTGCCTCTGCTGTGTCTTTCTCTTCATGTTTTTACCTCCTGAGGCCTTTCCTTCTGCCTTCCCAGCCCTCTCCAGCTCTTCAGGCTTAGTCTCTCTCCCTGCAGAACAGGAGTGCTCACACCCCTGTCTCTGCACTGCTTTGCCTCCGGCTCCCTCCTGCTCTTCACCAGCTGCTTCCATTGAGGTCTCCAGCCCCGGGCAGCAGCCCTCCACCGTGAGGACAGGAGCCAAGCCTCTCCTCTATCTGCTGACCAGAGGAAAGAAACACAGGAAAGAAACAGCGGTACCCGTGTCTACAAAAGTCAACTTCATTTATAGATAACAAATGTGAGAAAACCCTGATGTCCCCAGATGGCAGAGTCCAGGCTGGTATGGAGCCTTTGTGCTGCATTTCTGTGTTCTAGCATGTTTGGATTGTTTTCTCCAACACTATGACTGTAAAGGGCAGCTGAAATGCTGCAACCATTTGAACAACAGTGTTAATAAAACATTTGCTTTGTCCCACAGTAAGTTGCTACCACTACAGGGTAGTCTGACTCAGCACAGCAATACTGTGTCTGCTGAGCCTTCAGCCATGAGGGTTGTAAAACTGTCTCGGGGTCTAAGGTCATGCCTGTAAGTCCTAACCCAGACAGAGCCTTTGCAAAATAACGGCACTGGTATGAAAAATACGCGACTTGCTGGAGGCAGACGACAAGATCAGCAGCAAATCCACCTGTGACCTCAGGCAGTAACGAGCATTTGGTAAGAGGTGAGTGAAAAACTAATGATTTTGTCATCGAGATAAGAGTTGTGGCATTTCAGAGGAGGAATACAGCAG